TTAAGGGTATCCATAGCTAGTCCGAGGGGCGGAGTAAAGCCTTCTCGAATTGGGCGATGGCGTGGGCGGGAGGGGGTGGGGCGTGGGCAGCAGGTCGGACTCCACGCGGAAACCAGCGTCGTCGGCGACGAAGGTCACGTCGGCGGGAGAGCCATCGGGGAAGGTGAAGCTGAACAGGAAATCGGGGAGACAAAATTAGGTGATGTCAGACAGACAGACTTTTTATTGCTTAATCCTAAATGTTTAAGCGCGATTGCCTCTTTCAATATCAATCTCTGCAGACAAGAATAATATATTTAACACCCATTTGTATCATGACAAATCAGCCATTATTCACGACCATCCTCCTTGCATGGCCACTGCGCCAGATGGTCCTCGAGGGGCACCTTGTTCCTCTCGCTTGATGCCATTGCCGGTCTCGAACTCGAAGCTGTACACTCCAGACGCATCAGGTCCCTCTCGCTCGTCCTTCAGGATGGGAATGACTGGACTGGGAAAGCCATAGAAGCCGGTCTGAGGTGGTCCGTAGTGGTCTGGGGCCGCGGCAGCCGTCGTCACGATGCGCAGTATATTATATTATGTATATATATATATATATATATATATATATATATATATATATATATATATATATATATATATATATATATATCAGAAATAATATCTATAATGAAGTTACGAATGATGAATGTATACATTTTAGCTTACAAAAAAAGTAACAGGCCTTAGTGGGAATATATTAATGTATTACACTGTGAACTTTTACACGTCTTCTTCCACAACCCATGTACAAGTCAGGTCGAGTTTTTTATACACTTTTCCCGCTGACTCTTCTTCTTACTGTTACAATATATTCACGAAATGTGGTAGGTCATCTGTACATCAGAACTCTCTTTCCGTTATATCTTCCTCACCCCAAGGGAACTAAATCCTTTCACTGTCCTTCTGTCATGAAGGTTTCGTAATCTTACAGCACACATCTGCAAACGCACACACACACGCACACATATACACACACGGGCAATATGTATATAGCATATATGTGTGCGCGTGTGTGTGTATTATGCTGAAGAGAAAAAAGAACTTTGAAAATTATCATGAGTCAAAAAATTAAAATCTCTGAAGGCAATCAATTCCAGAGACTACAGCTAGCATTAAACAATCTAGAAAATGAAGGTATAGACACTCGGCTTCCATCAGTTGTCGTGAAATGAGAGTTATAGGACTTCTCGTAACTTTTACAGGCTGATTAATATCAAGTAAAAAGGGAATTGGAATTTTCGGTTGCAATAAGACTGAAAGAGCCTAATATCTCTAAATACCATACCCAGTATCCAAATCTAAGTCAGACAGGACAAAATTAATGGAATATATGTATGTATGTATGTATTATATATATATATATATATATATATATATATATATATATATATATATATATGTATGTATGTATATTATATATATATATATATATATATATATATATATATATTATATATATATTAATATATATATATATATATATATATATATATATATATATATATATATATATATATATATATATATATATATATATATATATATATATATATGTATGTATTGTATACATATGGATGCATAAATATATATATATATAATAAATACACCAACACACACACACACACACACACACACACACTACAGACATTTATCTGTATTTATTTATATCTTTATTTATATGTATTATATTTATATTTATTTATATTTATATTTATTTATATGTTTATCATGCAAAACAAAAAATGTACCATCGTCCGAAAACAGTGAATTAGCTGAGAGTAAATGGATGTTTCTTGTGTAATTTTGTCTTCATTACAAGTTAATGCTGCTGGTCTTAATTAGTAGACTTGAATCTTAAATAAATTATGGTGACTAGGCCATACATTAACAGTATATTAACACTCACAGAAATAGTTATGATAATAATGATAATTTTGATAATAATAATATTACTAACAATACTAATACAAGTGATGATAAGGATGGTAATGATAAGACATCCACATTTAGATTATGCTAGTATGGATATGTATATCTATCCAACTATATAAAGTAGGTATATATATTTTTTCGGGTGTCTCTATGTACACGTGTACTTACGAGAGTATGTGCATAATTTACTTTTCTGTACTATTGACCAATATCATTATGTAATGTTATGATAATGACCATAAACCTCTGAGTAAATATTCTTAAAGAAACTCATTTCCTCCCATTCATGTCTCCCGCGAACATTCCCATTCCTCTACAAATCAGTGCAATATTTTAATCATTTTCCTATAACTATCATATTTTAATCGTTTTGATATTTTTGACATCAAATTTCTATGGCAGTTTCTTCCAATGTAGCTTTAAGTAAAAGTAAAACACTTATAAAGGAATTTGAAATTATGTATTCTACATTTGGCCATTTCTTTTGACTCTTGAATGCGGTTGAAGTAATAATATAAATTGCTACAGCCTTTTCCTGTATTTGCATGATACTACTTCTTACTTACAATTCTCTATTCAAGGAATTTTTTACAAGCCATACATTGTTTGTTTAATTACAATGTATTACGTGATAACGAGAGCAAGAAAAAAAAAAAAATATTTAAGATATCTTGCAAATTAAATTATTATAGATTTTCAAAAACTGTATCAACTAAAGCATCAAACAGAGTAATGTGAAGAATCTCACCTTGGAGAACACAGAGAGGCCTTGCGGGCAACAAGAGGCCGCTGGTATATAACTGGAGCGAGATGCTACCCTTGGCATACTGATTTCTACTTCACCATCATGCTCGTGGTGAGTTCGCAGGCACTGAATATTCAGTATTAATGAAATCCGAATTTAAGATCAAGCCATGAATAATATCTTTTGAGAATAGAAAAAAAAACTTCCCGTCTAATGTTGTTTATTTCCGTAGATTTTCATCTCCGCTTTGGTGGCGGTGGTTGCCGCGGCCCCAGACCACTACGGACCGCCTCAGACCGGCTTCTATGGCTTTCCCGGGCCCTATTCAGGTCCAGTCATTCCCATCCTGAAGGACGAGCGAGAGGGACCTGATGCGTCTGGAGTGTACAGCTTCGAGTTCGAGACCGGCAATGGCATCAAGCGAGAGGAACAAGGTGCCCCTCGAGGACCATCTGGCGCAGTGGCCATGCAAGGAGGATGGTCGTGAGTACAATGCATGACTGGTTTTGGTACATCTGCTTTGTCAGTGATACGTCTGCTTTTGTATTATAAAAATAATAATAATAATAATAATAATAATAATAATAATAATAATAAATCTGCACATCTCATTCATTTTGATAAATTAGTGTTTGATTTGTGTTCAGCTTCACCTTCCCGATGGCTCTCCCGCGTGACCTTCGTCGCCGACGACGCTGGTTTCCGCGTGGAGTCCGACCTGCTGCCCACGCCCCACCCCCTCCCCGCCCACGCCATCGCCCAGATCGAGAAGGCTCGTCGGGAGGACGCAGCTGCTGCCGCTCTGAGCGGGCGTTACTCCGCCCCTCGGACTAGCTATGGATACCCTCAATAGGATCTTATATATCTAACTATAGTATACTGTATATAAAAAGACAATAAAGCAACCAGCTATATATCTGTTTTCATTTTAAGATATGATAAAGCATCATTAATACACACACACACACGCACACACATATATTTATTTATATACACATGTGTACATATACATACATAAATATATATACACATAAATATGTATATAAACTTATATATTTGTTTAAAAGTGTGTGTATGTAAATGCATTCATGCACACTCTCTCACACACACACACATGTATATGTATGTATTTGTACATACACATACATATGCATACATGCTCTATCTTTTTCTGTGTTACTTTCTCTGTCTCATTCTCTCTCTCGCTCTTGTTCTCACGCATACCCTTATATATACACACACACGCACGCATATTATGCATATACATAAATAATTATTTTTCGAAAGACATTCTCCATAAAATGACTGATCATTCGAGACAACAAAAGGGAGCAATACATAACAAGGCTGGGAAGGAGTTGAATTAGACGGCAATAATTGCATGAGAGGCGAATGTACGTATCAAATGAGGATCATCAGCTGGCCACTTCTCCCTTGCCTTAGCTTGCTGTCTCGCGGCTCACGAGTTCCCACGGGGTTACGCTTCCTTCTAAACTTCGTATTATAATCTTTTGTATGAAGGATATTTATTTGAAGCTCAGTCTGACTTCCAGTGATATGGAATGTGAGACTCATTCATTCTCATTGTCTCTCTCCTCACACTCCTCTCTCTCTCTTCTCATTCTCTCCTCACTCCTTTTCTCCCTTTCTCTCTCTCCATTTTTTTTCTCTCGCTCTATTTTCTACCTATCTGTCGATGTATGTTGCGCTCTCTCCTGTCAATTTTTTTTTAATCTATCTATGCATGTTTTGCATATCCTCTCTCTCTCTCTCTCCCTCTCTCTATCTCTCTCTCCTCTCCCTCCTCTCTCTCTATCTGTATGTGTTGCGTCCTCTGGAATGTCAGTACCCCCCCCCCCACTTCGCATGAGCTTGTTTGGCACATAAAGGTTGGGTGTTGTGTGTATGCACACGCACACATACATACACACACACACACACACACACGCGCGCACGCGCACACACACACACACACACACACACACACACACACACACACACACACACACACACCACACACACCACACACACACACACACACACACACACACTTTTATCTTTGTCCGAAAACAAGGAATTAACTGAGAGATAATGAATGCTTCTTATGTAATTTTGTCGTTACCGTAATACCACATATCTGTATATTCTATTTCGTTCTTGGCTGAAAGGCCCTTTTCTCAAATCTATAATTTTTAGAACGCCCTTCATGGCCACAATAGTACGTTTGTAGAAAAAAAATATGATAAAGATGATATTGGTGATGATAATATTGATGATAATAATGATGATAATGATGATGATAATAATAATAGTAATAGTAGTAGTAGTAATGATAATGATAATGATAATAATAATGATGATAATAATGATAATGATAATAATAATGATGATAATAAAAATAATAGTAATAATAATGATCATGATAATAATGATAATGATAATAATGACGACAATAATTATGATGATGATAATGATGATAATAATCTAAACGATAATAGCAATAACACCAACAACAGAAATACTACTACTGCTAATAAAAACATGATGATAATGAACATTGATAACATTAATGATAAAAAATAATATTAATGATAACAATAATAATATAATTAATAAAAAAATAATGATAATGGTGATAAAAAATATAATATTAGAACTAAAAACAGTAATAAACACAGCAATGGCATTAATAATAATAACAATAATTATAGTAATAATAATGATGGTAATAAAAATGATGATAATGATAATAATAACAATAATATCGATAGTAATAATAATAACAATAATATCAATAATAATAAAAACAATAACAAGAACAACAATAGCAATAACGATAACAATAATAATGACAACAGATATAATGATAATGATGAATAATAATAAAAACAATAACAAGAACAACAATAGCATTAACAATAACAATAATAATGACAATAGACACAATCATCATTAATAGCAAAAAGAAGATGAAGAAGATGAATCTGGCATTGCGTAAAAGAATTGCCAAAGAACAGCTGCGGTCGAGCACCTCACCTTGAGCGAAAGCGAGAAGGTCGTGGAGGAGGAGACGCCGTCCACATAACTGGAACGTGGTGTTGTACAGTTACTGGGTCTGGCCGACGTGTTTTCACTTTTTTTCACCTCTTTATGCATCTATTGACATTTCTTTCCCTGAGGGTGGGTAATTTTGTTGGATGTTGATTCTTCGTTTGGCTTGTGAATTAATATAATTTCAGATAAATGTGTATATTTTGTTAC